GTGTGTAGATTTGTGAAAAATGTACTGTTCTAAAAAGAAGTGTATGTGTTTTTAAGTGATTTTGTATGGTTATGAATTGTGTTTCTTTTTAACCATTCGAGTAGCGTGTATTATATAAGTGTTGTGAGTTCAAGTGTTTCTGCTTACGAAAATCATCGATTTTAAATCGATCAATCAATTAGTATAGTTAGACGTAAAGTAATCAAATACATTGAGCTTCCTGTTAGGCTTGTTTGGAAGAAAAACAGAAACAGGAAGAAGGAGAAGAAGAGCGAGAAGGAGAAGGAGAAGGAGAAGGAGAAGGAGAAGGAGAAGGAGACGGAGGAAGAAGAGGAACAGAATATCAAGTTAGGTTAGTCTTCCAGTAACTTCACATAATAATTAGTTTAAAATGATTTATAAAAAAGGTTGAAGGAAAATAATGTTCTTCTTTTTATAATTGTTTTAAGTTGAGTTTTTCGTTTACTAAAATATAACTAAAAAGCATTAAACCGTATAACGATCTTAAATTAATTATAAAAAGAAAACAAAAATATAAGTAACCATTGAAAGAAGAAAAACTTAAATTGCAAAGTAAGAAACATTATAAAAAGAGAAAAGTTGCAAAAATCTAAATTGTAAATAATAAAATAATAGGATATAAGAGGTGGGAAAAAGCAAATGTTCGTTAGCTTTTGAGCGATCAGCTCGTTATCTACTTCCAGTAGCATCGGAAGAAGGCCCTCGCGATCATTTACGAACGTTCACGAGTATTCTAGAAGTTGCTTTCTCATTCAACGCGAATGCTCCGAGTTTGGTGAACGAATTTGGCTGGTGCAAACCGCAGCGGCACGTAATTGCCCAGGGTAACCTACCCTCTCTCTCTTGGTCTCTGTCTCTGTCTTTTCTTGTTTCTCTTTCTATCTTATTCGTTTCCAGAGTGCATAGTTCCTTTTGGAATGGTACTTCGTGGCAAAGGAGAGCCAATGTTCATACATACGTGCACGATATCGCCTTTCCTGATTTATGGACTCCATTGGGGTCTTTTCGTGCTAACTTTGAGAAACCGAACCTTATCGTTCCATTCTCCTTCTCACTCTCTGTATCGTGTTTTCGGATTAAACGCTTTCTGCGTAAGCCACACCAACCAGTAGTAACTTACTAGCCATGAAGCTTTCTACGGTCGATCTATATACCTTTTACTTTGAAGAAAAAGGGCCTCGATCGTTCTGTAATTCTTGAGAACATTTTTTCACTTGTGATAAGCCTTGCTTGTGTTTCCTTTCAAATACTTGTTTCTCAGACGGTTGATAAAGGATTTTTGAAAATAGAAAAATACGGGATTAGATTGCTATTAGTTAGTTTTTAATTTTCGACGAGCAGTAGAAATTTGTTAAAAATATTAAAACATACTATTTATTAGTATTGTGATGACGTTTATTTTGTTAATGGAAATTTCTTACAAAATTTGAAGTAAAATTATGATAGTATAAGGAATAATTGAACTAAAGTCCCAGAGTCTATGGCATCTTGCAAGCTGATTACTACGGGTTCTGTAGCTAGACCTTAAAGAGAGATAGAGAGAAAGGAGAAGAGAGTGGTCACACAACGACTTCGAAACAAAGTTCGTTTAGCGAATTGGGTTTTGGTTCTAGCCGAGTTTCCTTTCAATTGTAATGTAAAAAGTTCGAACGTGCGATATCGTCGAGCAAAAAAGTTTTATATCTTATAATAGATGGATATAGTTTGCTTATGACTACAGAATTCTGAATCATATTTATTTTATTGTATTATTTATTGTTAATGAATCCTGTATACCGCTAATGCATTTGCCATAATTACAAATATACATACTTCTACTATTATTATAATTTAATAAATTTTCTTCGATTCCTATCTTATCTTCGTCGAGCAAATAACTCGAGGAAACAGTAAACAAAAGTATATGGTTTTATCTAATAAGATCAAAGGTGGAATCGAAATTGAAGGTCCATATTGGGATTAGATTCCCTTACGTCTTCTGGAGATGAACCTTTTGCTCTTCTCTATCTTCTCTTTGTCGTGAATGAGTCCTTCTTCCCTTGAGAAACTATTCTCGAGTTTTACGTCTTCTTGCTTTCCTTCTTTTTAGTCTTAGAAACCTCTGTACTTTGCCCTTTTCGTAATAAAAACTTTCATATATGTACATATGTATATGTAAAAGTGTCGTTAACTTTGGTGACTTCTCTTTGAAATTTTCTTTTTAATCCCTTGAATGAATATCAAAAAGGTGGATGTTAAAATGATTATTCTATACTATCATAAACTTTCCTCATGCTTTTCGTCATTATTTTTTATACGCGTACACAGGAAACAATGGTTCCTCGTTGAAACTTAGTTTTTTTTTTTTTTATATATTTTCCATTGTAATTCGCGTAGAATGATTTAATTAGGTCGGGAAAATAATTTTATATATTTTCCTCTCTGTCTCTCTCTCTGAGTTCACAATTTATGATAAAGTTATGAAAAACGTTCGAGCAGAGGATATTTACATATATTTTAATATCGTGCTTATTGCAATATATAAAATATGTATTTAAATATGTGAAATGAAAATTTACATAAGTCGATTGTATAATATTTAATGATATTATAAAATATACTTTCACTTCGAATTTATGCAAGTTTATTCTAATACGTGTAAATAGTATAGCAAAGATAGATATAATTTTGATATCATTTCCATTTGCTTAATTGTAATTTTTAAATATCGCTACAATTTATGATTTATTTGATATTTTAAATGGATCTTTAAAGAAGATCTTTTTTTAAAAATATTGAAAAATTCATTGTGTTCATTTTATCCGAGAATTCTTTGCGTGGGTCTACCGAAGAAAAGATGAGAACGAAAGGAACAGCCTCGCGTGTGGCCCTTTAAGAGAATACCGCTTTCGAAAAGCAACGAAGGATTGTTTTTTTCTCTTTCTCTTTTTCTTTTTGCCTATTTTTCTTTCTCCCTCTCTCCCACTGTTTCTTTCCTTTTTTTCTTGCAAAATAAAGCACATGGATAGAACGCATTGCTGCTCGCTTGAGAAATCGTGCCACCTCGAAGAGACGACCTCCTTCTTCTTTACTCTTTATTACATTTCCTTCACCACACACACACACACAGCATCCTTTCAACTCGTTATCATATTCCTTTCTTATTTTCTTACCAAACTTATATACTTTTACTTTATATTTTTATCGAATTTTTCAACATATTCCAAAGTTTTCTTCATATTTTCTTGTTAACTATATATTTGTTTATTATCCTATTGGTCATATTGATCATTATTTTTGGGAGTTACTGTAGATCTAATTACTATAGCATATAATGCTTATCTTCCTTTAGAGAGCGAAGGTAGAAAAGACAAAGTTATAATTCGTAGGTTGTTTATAACTCTGAAGAGCGATAAGACACACACATTTAAAGATAATTAGAAGGTTTCCGGAAAGGTGATTAATGATCAAGGATAGGACGGATAGAACTATGACCGGGAATAGTCATATCGATCTTAGTGAAGGTTTCGTATGCGTTTAGACAGGATCATAGAGAGGTAGGAGTAGCAACTTTATCTATCTCACGAAAGGTAGCTAAGCGAGAGAGTACCACCGATCCGTTAGCGAGATTAATGAGTCGTGTTATCGAACGATACGTCTTTCTCTCTGTCAACTTTTTTCTCTAGTTTTCTTTTTTCTTTTATTAATTTTTTTGTTATCATAGTTACAATCTTCCAATGGGAAGAATGCTTCCAAATCCCTTATAAAATCACGACAATACGTCTTTAATAATCATTACAAATGATGTTATTTAATTATTCTTGATATGTGCTAGTAATTAGGATTTTTGTTGAAATTGAACATCGTCGGTGTCGATCGATTTTTCAATTCCTTTTTACACTGTAACCTTTTTCACCGTATCTAGTATCAAAGAATATGTGAAAAGAAAAGCAACGGATAATGGATCAAACAGAGGACGTAGAAGGGCCTGCTAGAATGACACCGTTATTAGAACCTAATCCGCTGAGAGAGCAGCAGGCTCTACCGGGTGAGCTTTGAAACTTGGCTGCTAGAGCTTCCCGGATGTTCCATGAAAATTGAGACGATCCGAAAATAATACTATTCAATTTTTTCCAAGATGATATAGTATGACAATATACGTAATATTATAAATTTTGCATTGTATGATTTGCTTAAAGATACATTTATATAGGATTCATTAGAAAGATATTTTAATAAAATAATACTTTTCATTCGGAATTGAATTATAAAGTACTTCCAAAATGATTTTAAATAATCATAAGAAAGAATTGCGAGCACATATTTAACGATCATAGACATCTGCTTCTGGTTTTGATCGACTCGAAGATAAAACCGGAGATTAAGATCTACTTTCAAAACGGTGTCTTTGAGTGGAACCGATGTTAGCCACTTAATCTGCCACTTAAAAACTTTTTCTAGCGTATCTTGACGAGACCGCGTTGGAATGGATTGAAATTATCGAAGAAGCTTAAAGATAAGATCTTTAAGAAAACGTTGGAATAAGAAGAGTAGTTCGTTATAGTTAAGATTTAAGAGAGCTCACTAATCAATTTTATTTCTGTTTATACTCGCCGACTTCTTATATATCTGACAGTTAAATATTATAAAACAGAATTTTGTTAATTACAAAAATGTAATAAAAAGAAATCATTGATTCGTTCTCAAAAGTTGAAAACTTTTCGCGAAGAAAACGTTGCAAGAACAATTAATAAAATTAAAGTAAGCGAATTAATTGTTTTGAGGCTCGAAAATTCTGAGATTGCATTATCTCGCTGATTATCTGTCTTACAAAATCATTTGAAAGGGCAAATAAAGTTAAATGGTTGCCATCATAAGTACGGAACACCATTAATTACAGCAATCTAAATCCCCTTCATTTTTATTTCAGAACTGGAAGAATACTCCATAAATATTTCGTGAAAATGTAATGAGACGAGAAGGAAATATATCATTAGGATCATAAGATCCCTTATAAAATGAGCGATGAAACGTTTGCAAAAACCTTGATCGGCGACATACCATACGCCGACGAAGATGGGTATTCGATTGATCAAATACCACATTCGAGATTGGTATCGAAAATTTCAACGACGAACGAGAAAGGAAATCTTCGAATCACACAAATATCACGTACCGCAAGAACAATCTTTCTCGACAAGAAGGAAAACACAAAAAACGATAATAATAGAACGTCGAGTCCGAAATATATTTATTCGGAGAAAAATGCGAACGAACATCGATCGATCAGTAAAAAGATCGACAAATTTTCAAATTCTAATAAAACTCGGTCAAAACATTCAGAACAACAGCAACGGCAACTGCAACAGCAACTGCAACAACAACAGCAGCAACCACAACAGCAGCAACCACAACAGCAAATACAACAACAAAGTGGTTACTCAAGCAGCGAGGAAAGTATAATAAGAAACAAATCAAAAAGTACAAGTTCGGCGGATACTCAGTCAGTGAATAATATATTAGATGAATACGAAGACGAAAGGATTATAGAATTTAGCGATGTAGGAAGTACTACCTGTACGATGAATTTAAAATCTGTAAAAATAGAACATCCGAAAAAAAAAGAAATCCAGCAACCTCAGCAATATCATCACAATCGTCAAGAAATAAAACGAACAATTTGTAACAATTCATTTGCACATCATAAAGAAAAATGTGAATCGATCTCAAAAGTTAATCAACAGACACAAGTTAGACAGAGATCACGCGAGAGAGGAAAAGATTCAATGAGATATTCATCTTCGGCATTGGCGTCATCGCGACGAGTATCGCCATTGATCGTCGACAATATCGATCGAATTGCAACGTCGATGCCATCCTCAAAGGGGAATGATGATTTACCAAGAAAAGGCGAGGTTCAGAGACGCGTAGACGAATGGTTGAGTCAAGCACAATTACAAAGTTCCGTGAGCACGGCACGTGAGAAGCCATTAACCAGATCAAACAGCAGTGCTGAACGACGAAGTAGTCAACGAAGATGTCAACGAAGTAGTCAAGATCCAAGGTCGAGGTCAATCGACGAGTCCACCGAACGAGCTAATGGCGGAGCTTCCTCCAGTTACAACGACCTTACACGAACTAACCCAGATCCAACCTCTTCTTCTTCATCTTCCAATTTTCTATTCAATAAAGAAACTTATAAGGATTATTTGTTAATTAAAAATAAAACTAGACAACAGGATTACGGATTTATAGCTTCCAACGGTGTTAACAGAAGAGATATCAGTCCAAATACTTCATCAAAAATACCACAACGCGGTTCGAGTTTTAAACGAAACGAATCTAAAAATAAGAAATTATCTAATTCTAATTACATCGATGGATTATTATCGACGAATACGTCAGCTGTTTTATCTAGAAAATCATCTTTTACAAAATCTCATTGTAATGATTATATTGAACCTTCTAATACTACCGAACTATCTTTGGTTGGCAAAAAAAAAGACGATGAAGATAATTCGAAGGGTAGGATAATTGAAGATGAGCGAAGAATAAACGAGAAGCAGCGGATCGCAAAAATAAATAAGGACGGTGAAAGTAGGGTTTGCTCGCTTACCAAGAGATTGGATAAATCTTCGGAAGACGTGGTCCTGTGTAAATCGAATCTCGAGATCGTTAAAAAGAATAGTATGGTAAATCCAGAAGCTAAGGGTAGTCTCGTTAGCGTACAAGTACGCGTACCGTCTCAGGGTCATATCGATTGGAGAAAAATAAATCCAAATAAAGCAGCACCACCAGCACCGATTTGTTCTAGAAAAGAGAGCAGCAGTGGTTCTCGTGTTAAAAATCAATGTTCGATGGCCTTGAACGAAGATTCCGGTTCGACGAGATCGACTACTTTCAAGCCTAACGAAATGCGAAATTATGCGAAATCTGCGAAGCTTGTGTCAAAGGATAATAATGCAACGACTAATACAATGAAATATATTTCCACTTGTCCGTCGTCGTCGTCGTCGTCGTCGTCGCCTAATCATGTAGAAAAGATTTACGAACGTAGCTTAGAACCGCAAGTGATTTATGCCGACGATTTTCGCTCAATTCTAAGACCATCTTTACGTATTTCTGCGTATGGCGAACGCGAGGAAGACGATTTAAAGAAAGGACGAAAGGAAGAAAAAGACGAAAAAGAAAAAGACGACAAAGAAAGAGAAAAAGAAAGAGAAAAAGAAAGAGAAAAAGAAAGAGAAAAAGAAAGAGAAATAGAAAAAGAAAAAGAAACCGAGAAAGATATTTATGGCAAGATAGCAGAAATGAGACAGGAGACTCTCGAGACTATCATGGAGGACGATAGAAAAGTTGAAATTGTTTGTGGGAAGGGATCAGTGACCTTGGATGATTGGAATGTTATAGATGAAATGAATTCGATCGATACCGATGAGAAATCAATAGATACGAGATATCATCGTTTTTCGAGTAAACAGGATCAAAATGAAGATAAAGATATTAAAAATAATATAATGGAGATCGATGAAGGTAGTTCCGATCTTGATAAATTGTTCTCTTTTGCGAATAATGGTGATGAATTTGCAATGAGGAAGTTCAAGGTCGAGGAAGATACTCGACAAGTTAGGGCAATGATCGAGAACGATCGATCGATCCTTTCGAAGGAAAATAACGAGGACAGATCGAGTGGTATGGTGGTTAAGGAGAGCCTTATGAAGAATTTACAATTTGATGCTGGTTTACCGGCGAAAGTCGAACGTCGAAGCGAGTCGAAGTGTGGCGATCAGCAAGGGAACAGGTCCAAGCTGTTCGACGATCGAGTACAACTTGTTCAGAGGGACGAGAGAAAGGGGGAAGACGAGAACAAGAGTCAAGAAGAAATGGAACACTTCAGGCTGATGGATTTGCTCAAAAATGGCGACTACGAAACAATCAAATTGGTGAGTCACACACGATTGCAACATTCTTTCGAACTTTATATATGCAATAATAAATCAATGATATAATCATTCAATTTATTTTCAAATATCGTAACGCGCACGTGAATGATGATACCTGTAATATAAGATAAACAGAAAATTAAAATAGTTTTAATCGTTGTGAATCAACGGGCTTACATGATATCTCTCTATTTCTCTTTCTTTTTCTCTTTCTTTTTCTCTTTTCTCGTCTACCCTAAAAGCCAATTTAATTCGCTTGGTCGATAACTTCATCGAAAAGATACGTTTCCCGGAAAGTAATTATTATATTTCAGAATGAGTTCGAATATTGCAGCATTGCAGTACGTACTGCGATTGTGTAACTAACAATGTAGTACTAGCTGCACCTTCCGATAATTACGAATCAGAATTAATCGCGATACGTTTCATTTATCTCGTTATATCGATAATATAATCGATATTAAATCGGAAAACCATAAGAGAAAATATTTTCCTTTTTATCATTTTCCATTGTACTCTTTTTATGTAATATTTTTCTATCTTTTCATTTTGTTCTCTTTTATCTTATCTCTGTATAATTCTATCTCTTTCTATTTTTCTCATTTGTTAATTACAAAGTATTCGTTTCTCTATTATTTTAACAAAGTAATAAACTTTGAAACAATGAGGTTTTACAGGACAAAAAATATTATTTTTTTTTTTTCTATGTTCCTATTCTTCTCATTTGTTAATATCTACATCTTTAAAAAATGTAGAAACTGGTTATAACATATTTGTTGTATATTTTCTTTAAATCATACCATTCTATGTATTATTTCTTTTTGCTTCTCTCATTATTTATGTATCTCTGTATTAATCTTTATCTTCAACCGGAATTTATTTTTACTTGTTAATCATGTTAATTATAAAAAAATACCCATCTAATTATCTCTTTTATATATCATTTCTCTCTCTCTCTCCCTTTATCTCTTTTCCTTCTTTTCAAATTTACAAATCGTGTTGTCAGCGGTTTCTGTTTTTCCGGTTTATATAGGATGCATTAATCGAACGAAAGAGGAAGCAATTTTGAAAGCATAAATTGTATCGCGGTCGGCCAAAACACGGATGATCGAATTTTGGTGAACGATAAATGCCTGTGTATCGTCTATACATACATATGTATAAACATATATAATACATATATAAATATATACATACATATATACGTACGTGTTCTATCGTTCAAGCTGCTCTAAATGAAATTCAATATTTTAATGCATCGTACTTTTGCAACGAAAAGTACCAAGCTCAAAGGATATTTACCGATATCGTGAGTTTATGAATATTCAATGACGTACTTAACAATAAGTCCTTTGAGAAGATCATGGAGTGCTGCTGGGTAAATCTTTAGCAAATAATGTTTCAAATTTTCCTCCTGGAAATATGTATGATGTAATAATTTATTAAGAAAAACTATTCAATTTTGTTCAAAATATTTTTTTCTGTGAATTAGTTATTTCAATTTGAATGACCATGCTCGTATTTCTTTATCCTACTTTAACGAATGATATTTTCCAACAAAAGTAAGCACAAATAAATTATTACTGTTAGTTACATTTATAAAATTTCTCTGAGAATATATCGAATCAGTGAAACGAATAGTGCTTTCGAAATAAAACCACCGTTCAAAAGATTTCCCTTAGAATGGAGCATTCTCGGTGGGCGTTAATGGGACAGATTAATAAGAGGTTTTTCACGAGGTGAGCATGCTCCCATCCCGACTGGCCCGACACTATGCCGTTATTTCTCGCTCAATTAAGAGCTCAATTAAGTCCGAGGGTCCTGTCGACCGCAGTTGTTCGATAAAACGTTTTCAGAGAGAGACAGAGAGAAAGAGAGAGAGAGAGAGAGAAATAAAAAATAAGGAAGATATTTTTCATACCTTCAAATGCTCACATTTTGTACAAAATATTTGTTTTCATTTTTTTCTCTTTGCCTATAGTTTTTATCACATAAATATAAAATTCTGTAATGTTTAATCATTTAAGTAAAATTATATATATATATATGTATATATTTGTATAGAATATTCTAAATCTACATATTTATGCATAAAATGTTTTGAATATACATATCTATTCATAAAATATTCGAAATATTCATAAATATAGATATAGATATATAGATATCTACTCGACAGTACAAAAGGGATGACACCGTCAGTCAGCCACTCTTGTGATAGCTCGAGTGTTCTCCTGCCATGTAAAAAACATTCTTGTGTATGGATGTGTACATCAGGGAGAGAGAGAGAGAGAGAGAGAGAGAGAGAGAGAGAGAGAGAGAGAGAGAGAGANAGAGAGAGAGAGAGAGAGAGAGAGAGAGAGAGAAAGAGAAAGAGAGAGAGAGAGAGAGAGAGAGAGAAGGTTCCTGTCGGATATGCCTTTTCAATAGGACACAGACAGCACGTTCGAGCGATCCATCGAACGACCCGTCGAACTACCCATCGAACTACCCATCGAACTTTGCCACGAACGATGAAAGAATCGAAAGGGTGGCCTGCCACGTCTATTTTCTTTCCTCTCTCTTTCCCGTTATACACGGATCACAGAACATCGTGCAAAATTCTGATTCTACTGGTGAATTTTTCTTCTACGAAATTTTTTTCTTTTTTCTTTCCAATCCTCGTACCGATATTCGATCGAAACGATCTGACCATGAGAGAAACTTCATTTTCTATTTTAAGCCTAATAATGGAAAAGCATCAAATATTTCTGACATGGAAGGTATCTTGGTATCGTCTGAATATGAATACTTTCTAAAAGAATGTTATCTTAAGTCACCCTAATTTGAGATATAGAGACTTCAAATTATTAAAGATTTTCTACGATATTTTCTATTTTTTTTTTTTCTTTTCGTGTCATATCAATTATTTGTTATGAATGATGAAAAACTTTTCTCCCTCTCTTTCTCTTTGTAAAATATTTAAAAGATACATTAACGTACTCTTTGAATAATACAAGAATTTCATTTCTTAAAATTGTAAAAGAAATGAATGTGAGGTATGAATTTATATTAAAAACATGAAAATGTGTAAAATATGCTTTACTTTAAAATACGAATTAGCTGAGATAAGGGTAATTAAATAAATTGTGGCATTTAGTGAAAAGTAAAAAGAAAAGAATGTTAATAGATACTATCTGTAAATTATACTCAAAATTCTCGAAAATATTGAATTATTTCTAGTTTGATATTTTTATTCAGATATTCTCTCTCGAAAATATAGACTGATCCTTATTCTATATTTTAATATATCATTTACAATGCAATAATATGTGCTGGCAATTAAGATAATGGATTAAATAAAAAACATCGTTAAAATGGAGTTTATGATTTATTTATAAATATGAAACAATAAAAAAAGATGGAAAGATTGATATAAATGTGAATAAAACACAATTCTCGTGAAGTATTTTAATTTTTATTTTTTATTACTTTAATAAATCAATAACAAAATATATATAATACATAATACGAACATTATTAAAACTTTTAACGATGATTTTTTTCTATACGAATAAAAAATAGAAAAAAAAGAATTATCAAGAGAGAAAGAAGAAGAAAAAAAAAAAGAAAAAAGGGAGAGAAATAAAGTGGTATGGGATGTTCGGAACAAAATTAACGTCTGATCCTCGTTAGAAGTAAACTCGTGCATAGGCTGGATTTTCTCTCGATCGAGAATTCGCGGATAGAACGAGGAGAGAGAGGGAGAGAGAGAGAGAGAGACAGGAAGAAGGACGCATAGAAGGCAAAATGCTTCTGTTTCCCGTCTCGTTGAATGGAACTCGTTCGGCGAGGTACCGATTCTGGAGAAAGACCTTATTATGTACCCTCGGGGAGTCCTGCTATCGCGTCGACGTTGAAACGACTGAGATAGCTATATGAACTTGAAACGAACGGAAACGATATAGAGATGGGAGAGAGGGAGAGAGAGAAACAGACATAAAACAGAGATGAGAGATAGGGATAGAAAGAGACAGACTGACACGGACACAAAAACGGGGATGAGAGAAAGAGATAGAAAGAGATTGACTGAGAGAAAAATAGAAAAGAGAAGAATGAGAGAAGAGAAGGCACACAGAGAAAAAAATAAAATAAGTAAGAATGAGAGGATGAGACGATAAACAGATAAACAGGGAAAAGGGAGGAAGACGGACAGGGAGAAAGCTAGATTTACCGAAAGAGAGAGAAATAGACAAAAATAGAGATAAGAGAGACAGATAAAGAAACAGAGAAAAATGCATAGACGAAAAAGAGATAGAAATAGGCAGACGGACATAGAAATAAAGAAGCTAGGGGGAGGGGGAAAGAGAGAGAGAGAGAGAGAGAGAGAGACGGATAAAGACAAAGAAGTCGTGATAAAGGGAGAAAGAAAAACACATTGAAAAGGAGAAAGAGAGGGAAAAAAACCGGCTAAGCTGCATTCTGCTTCGTAACGTCTCATCTACAGCTCGCTTCCTCTCCTCTCTTCCGACATATTATTATTTTTTTTTTTTCAAATTTTTATTTCCTTTTCATGTTCGTATTTTGATAATCCAAAGCGAAATCGTTTCCGCAGCATAATCATCTCGTTAAATATTTACGTTCATTAATTACCGGTCGATTTATTCAGAACTTCTCTTTTTTAATTAAATTACTTGTTCTTTCTTTTTGTACTACATATGTTTCTTATTCGTTTCAAATGATCCGGTTTCATAAAAGATTTTTTAGCTGCACGGTACTATGTAATAATAAAATTTATTAATAATACCAATTATATGGTACACTTAATGTTTAAAAGTATATGTAGGAGTTGTAGAATTCTCCTTATCATATTTCTATACACACTGTACATATATTTGTCTCTAACTATATTTCCTTTCTCTCGTTTTATCATTGTCAAAATATATTAAACATTCTAAAACAGATGATTTAGAGAGTCATATTATTTTTTAATCGGCATCTTTTTGATGTCAGACTCGTAA